TGCCAGTGTTGCTGAACTTATCCTCACAGCCTTTAATTAACAAAGGTGTACCGTTTTCTCAAGAGAGAATCATGGAATGAGGATTTAAATTTCTGACTTCTGACCAGTCATCTTTGCTAGAGTGTGCAGGTATGGGACTGGCCTTGTCTCTGATGTTTCCTTTGATTGAATGTCCTACAAATGCTCAATGATCTACCTAGCAACTGAACAACAGATGGCTGCTTCTGCGAAATCATTGACATAAAAAAGCAAATCACCTTCTAAAAGAGGGACAAAATAGCAGGAAAAAGCCAGAGAAAAAATAGCAAAAAACGCATACATTTCTATTCTTTGCGGCTTTAAAGTATTTGTTTCTTGTCTTTTGATCAAAACAAGGATTGTTGCTAATAAAGGGACAGTACGTTCACTAGAAATGTCATTTAAATTTGTTTGCTCAAGATCACAGAGTATTTCAAAACAGATCGCACTACTTGTGTGTGATATATCTTATCATCTTCTTATCACAGCAACAATTGGTTCTCCTTGTTCCCTTTTCCTCAATCACAATGCCCTTACATAATTGAGATCCTGATTTACATGCTAAACTTACATAATTCCAAACAATTTTAATTCCTTGTTGGCTTTGTTCTTCTTTTCTTGTTGAACTTTAAACCTCTCAGTTGTATTCTTTTCCACATTACTATCTTTCAGCTGTGGCCAACTCACTGCTTTTACATTCATATTCTGTATCACTAATTTGACGTTGAAAACCAACCCTTTTGATGCTGGCTTTCTCACTGGAGAGGCAATGTGCACAGGGCAGAGATTACCCAGCAGAAAAGAGGTTAAAAATCAAAACCTACAGATGATGGGAAGCTGAACAAGAAAAGTCCTGGAAACACTTAATAGGCAAGTCAACATCTGTGGTGAGAACAAACCAGTTACCCTTTCAGGTGAAAATTTTAATCAGATCTGAAGAAAAGTGCAGATAAACAACATTTACAAAAGAAACATATCAAAGGGTATGGGGGATGGGAATACGCAAGAAAGACATACACACAAACACATAAGATGGAGGGCATAAAATTACTAAAGTGCTTGTAAAAAAATCTGAGATGCTGAAATGACTGGTGATAATAGCATGGCATGTTAGGAAGAAGCACAATATAACAAATTAAATACATTTAAGAGACACAGACATGTGAATAGCTGAGGAATATAGGAGGGGATGTGGGAGATGCCAGGTCAATAGTCATCAGAAAGGAAAATAGAGTGCAATGAAAAACAGATGCTAATTTGCCATCCTTTCTCCCATTTGTCTGTAGAGAGTGCATTGTCTTTGTCCCATATCCCAACTTGACAAGTAGCCAAGACTGGAATGAAAACAGGAAGGGCTGTAACTACTCAGCAGATCCTGCAGCATCTGCGTGAGGAGAAAAAAAAACATTGAGCAGTTTTTAAGCAAGGCAAAGATGTGGAGTAATGGGGGTGAAAATGGTGTGGAGGGAAGAAATGAAGAAACAGGAAGGACTGTGATACAGTGGAAGACAGAGTGATTAAAAGACAGAAGGAATAACAGTGAATAGCAAGAAGAAATGGTAATAGGGCTAGTAAGAAATAAAATAAGTGCCCAGAGGAGATGTAATTGGGAAAGAAAGCAGAATCATCACCAAAATCTACAAGCCCCTCCCATGAACTCTTTCCCTTACCTTGCTTAAAACCTAGGACACCTCTAAGAACTTTCAGTCACTAACCTGAAACTTGAACTCCTTTTCTCTCTCAGTAGATGATTCTAGACCTGTGATTATTCCCAATTTTTTTTTTATTTCACATTTCCCGCATCCACTGTGCTTTGTTCTTATAGCCAAGATTATAAATTTACTATATGTGTAACTATAGTTGTAAACACATAGTCCCTTAAGTGGAAACAGCACGAAGGGACACCAGTTTAATGTTAAGCAGAAGTTATGAGGTAGATATTACTCGGTGATAGCACATTTACCTCTGAATTACAAGACTGTGTATTCAAGTCCCACTACAAACACTTCAGCCCAATGTCTGTGAATGCTAACACTTCAGTACAGTACTGAGTAAGTTTTGCACTATGGGAGATGCCGTTTTTCTTATGAGGTGTTGAATTGAGGGTCCATCTGCCATTTCAGGTAGACATTAAGGAACTCATGGAATTATTTCAAAGATGATTCTGCTCAGTGTTCGGACCAATATTTTTCCTGAGCAGCATCATTAATTTGACAACCTGATCATTATCACATTAGCTTGTGGGATCCCGACCCGAAACTTCAACTTTCCTGCTCCTGTGATGCTGCCTGGCCTGCTGTGCTCCTCCAGCTCCACACTGCATTATCTCTGAATCCAGCATCAGCAGTTCTTACACTCTCTGAGCTTGTGGGACTGTGCTGTGTACAAATTGGCTACAACTGGTCAAAAGATTTTCCGGGTCAGGCTGGGATGAAGAGGGAGAGAGAAAAAGATTCTGTGGAGTCTTTTAGTCTCAGGATAATGTGCAAGCCTGAGACAGATGAGGAGGAATTACTTTGCTCAGAGGATATGAATTCTCTACCCTGGAGATTTCGACATATTAATAACTCAAAGGATAGGGGTATGACAATGCTGTCACTTTAGAAGGTTATTTTGTACCAGGCTTTTTTTGAAGAGAAGTTGTAAGGCAGAGGTGCTGAACTGGCTACTTGAAGTCGATTTAAGCAAACAACTTGTGAGGCCTTTAGGTTTTGGAAGCAGCTTGGGTATGGCTAGCTCTCACAGACCAGACTTTCTAGTTTTTTTTTGATTTTAGGTTCAGTTTTAATCAGAAGCTGTTTGGGGTTTCAAAAGAGTTGGTAGCTTCAGTAACCGTCTCTTGGCTGCTACACTCTTTGACTTTTCTCTTGATGCTTCTTCCTGCAGGATTGGAGAACTGCATGTAAAAACCGGTGTCTGAATTTGCCTTTTTGCCGAGGGGTGTGTTTATTGGATGTTACTATATTGGAACAGTTAATTAGTAATAGGTACTGTATCTATTATTCGGTTAAGTTTTTCAATAGTTAAGTTATTCTAAATTCCTCTTTCTTATATTTGTATATAACTATAGTGTTTGAATAGATTGTGTTTTGCTGAACATCAAGTAGTTTGACCAGTCACATCATATCTGGAACACAGCACTTAACATTTTCTTATTTCAAAGGTAAATGTGAAGGTCTAGGCTACCCTCTTAAAATATTTCGAGGGAGCCTGGTCTGGTCCATAACGGGGGGATAATACAGAAAAATGGCACTGAGGGAGATGAACAGCCATAATCTAAAATGGCCATTCAGCCCTGCAAGCTTCCTACTCCTGCTTGTGTTCAAACTACTTACCTAACAAGGTTCCTAAAGCTTCTAACAATATTCTTACAATGTATGATGGAGCTGGATGACTGAATTACTCAAATAGAGATCTCCCTACAAGCAGTTGGCACATTAATCAGAAATTGCTCTATTGCTTCAAATAGGACCACTTTCATTACTTCCTCTTACAGCAACAGGGCTCCCAAACTATCACCAATAGTGTGATGGTATTCCCAAATTTCCAAAGTACTTCGATAAATAATTACCTACCATTTCTGTTCCCACCACAGTGATTTTCATGGTAAACTGTGGCTTTATCAGGGTTTCTTTTGCAGCATCCCAACTTGTTCAAACTAGGAGGTGCAGCTGTAACTAAAAAAATTGACATACCCTGTTTCCTGAAGTATAGCTGCAGGTACATCTAAATCCATGTCAGCACAAACTGAGTTATGTAGTGACTGGAAAGTCAGATCGGAAATCATATTCTCAATTTGCATTTTGTTTTACTAAATTAACAAAAAGGAATCAGGCTGATAAATCCATAAGGACCTTGTTCTTATTCCTTCACAGGTTGTGGGCATCAATGGATAAGACCGACATATATTATCCAAAACAAATTGGCATTTAAGAGTCAACCACATTATTGTGGGGCTGAGTCACATGTAGGCCATAAGGAATTTCCTTCCCAAAAGGACAATAGTGAATCAGATGGGTCTTTACAACAATTGACTGTGGTTACATGGACGGCATTAGTTTACCTTCTTTTATTCCAAATTTTTATTGAATTCAAATATTGCCACAATTTTTTACTGAATTCAGATATCACCATTTTCCATGGTAAGACTTGAACCCATGTTCCCAGAACATTAGAGATAACAAGGTGTAGAGCTGGATGAACACAGCAGGCCAAGCAGCATCAGAGGAGCAGGAAGGCTGACGTTTCGGGCCTAGACCCTTGTTATCTCAGATTCTCCAGCATCTGCAGTTCCTGCTACCCCTTCCCAGAACATTAGCTTAGATTTCTAGATTACTAATCTAGTGACATTATCACTACAACTTCCTTCTCCCTTAAATCACTGCAAACGACGTACAAGACAGACAAGATTCAATATATGCTACTTGATTCCACAAAGCTTCACTGTATTACTTAGCATTCACAACACAGAAGTAGGCCATTTGATCAAACAGTTCCACAACTGTACCTATTATCCACATGAATCTTAAACCACCTTTCTTGAACATAATCTCTTAAACCTTGCACTCTCATGTGCTTATCCAGCTGGGCCCCCAATGCACCTCTACTCGTCAACTCAAATGCCTCTCTACATTGCAAGTTCCACTTCTTTCGTTGTTAGACAGAGCATTAGAAAGAAACAATTGGATGGTGTAATGATTATAAGGGTCTAACTCTTTGTACAGACTGAACATATCAAATTGGCAAATTGGAAGAGGTATTTGTGGACTGCTTTTGTGACAATTTTCTGAAGCATCAAGTTTGGAACCAAATAGGGATAAAGTTATTTTAGATATATAACTACGCACTAACTCAAGATTAATCAAAAATCCCACAGAATTATCTGTGAAAAACAATCATAAAACATACAAATTCCATACCAGACAAGCTGGAGAGCAACAAACTTCAGTCCAAAACAGGAATCTCAAACAAAGGTAAACATACTTAGGATAAGGAGAGAGTTGATGAGGTAAAGTCTACCTCAGCTAGAATGGGATTTGAACCCTGCGCTGTTGGCATTATTTTGAATTGCACACTAGTTGTTTAGCTAACCAAGTTAAACTGGACTCTCAATCAACATTTATTCAACATAATTTAAGTTATGGAACAAAAATGTGCATGTAAGTAGATCTGAATTAATTCTCAATTACGAAAGAACAACGAAGTATTTCTGCAAAAACAGAGTGAAGAGGCCCATTTAAGCTGGCTGTTTCAAACTAAAATCTTTATTTTTCATATTGTGAAAAGTTGAGTGCTCTTTTTTAAAAAGATTCTATTCTTTCACTTGAACTAGTGTTGTCAGAAAATATAATATACAATAATGACTTTTCCTCTCAAATTCTTCATTTATTCAATAACTTATGTGTGCAAAAATTGTATTCAATGGCTTAAAAATGTAATGTAAAACTGGAAACTTCACACCTCCTAAAATCATAAATTTAGATTGTACAGTAATGGATAAAGTAAAAAACTTGAAATCAAAACTTGTTATCAAAAATATGGTATGTGGACTTGGAGCAGTGCTACTTCTTCACGCCAATTACCGCATAACATCTTGGGGACTTCAGGGGATCGAACAGCTGTACTAAAGCTGACCATGCTACATTTGCCTGCAAAAGACACAAGTTAAAGAAACATTTCAGATGGTTCACTAAAATAAAGCTTCAACAAAACACATGTCCTTTTACATTGAATACATGTGTGTCCCTGCATTTGTACTCTTGAACATAATGATAAAATCATATTATAATTACAGTAGTTACCATGTGTAGATAATTTATTGTAACTAATACAGGTAATTCACAGCAATCAAGGTACTGTAATTTCACCATTTTATTCTATTTTTACCCCACCATTGTAAAATATATCTGTCAGTTGGACTACATACTGTCCTCTGTCTTATAGCCATATTTTAAATGCCAGTTTTTTTTTGATTAAGTGAGATAAACAAATGTAACTATATCAAATATAAAGAACATCTGTTAGCCATACGTTTTAAAGAATGCAAAACTACACAGACCAATTTAAAGAAATAAAGCATTTTCTGAAAATCTCCATAATTACATTATAGGCATGAAATCTTTGGCAAAATGAAGTACCCCACATACACCACCCAGTGAGAAACAGCGGTACCTGTTCTTTGAGGTAGCAAAGCCGGTCCAAAAGAATCAAACCCTCTATACAAGGGGATAAGGCTACCTTCAGCTGAAAGAAAGATGTATACAACAGTTCCAATCGTCGATTTAAGTGGCTCATAAATATCAGTTTATCAGATATCCAAGTTGAATAATGCAGTCAATAGTTTTAATTATTAATCTATTTAAACATGTATGCTAATTGTATTTAATAGAAGTATTTTTCACGGAGGTTCACAACTTTTGCTTGTATGGTATAGATTCTTATGTCAATATAATATTCTGAAGTTCCAAGATATTTTAGCATCAAGTTGGCCTTCGTAGAAGTTAATTATGTATATTTTACATAAATATGCCAAAACACTATATGAAAAAATGACTTCTTCCTTTTTCTTCCTCTACTTAACACAATACTGGAATGTACAAGACACAATACGTCTTACCTAGAGACACAGTATGCTCTTTGTTGGACTCCTGATATTGACTGCCAACAAAATTTCAAATACAGGTGCATAGAGTCATTGTAGCATAGCTGTTGACATGCTCCCTTCTCACTATCAAGAACGTCTGAATATCAATATTTCTTATTAGGACTGTTTTCAGATAGACAAACGGGAATGTAATATAGTTTATTACTCTGTTCATCAAACTCCAGTGGGTCAGAGCTTCCAAGGACAAGAATTGGACATTACAAGTTCTGGACGAATTTACGGTTTGTTCACCGTGACTGAAAATTTCAGGATGAAATGTAAGAAATATATCCTTATATAGCAGCAAATATTAATAAATCTAAATGTCACTGAATTTTTAAATACTTAATTTTAAAAGCCTTTTTCACAGGATGTGGGCATTACAGGCAAGGCCTTCGTTTGTTGTGCATCGCTAATTGCCCTTGAACTTGCTGGATTGCTAAGAGTCAGCCAAACTGCATTACAGGCTCAGCTAAGTAAGGCAGATTCCTTCTCTAAAGGACATCAGTGAACCAGATAGATTTTACAACAATCAACCGATGGTTTCATAGTCACCACTATTGAGACTAGCTTTCGTATTCCAGATTTATTAACTGAATTTAAATTCTGCAGTTACCATGGTAGGATTTGAAGCCATGTAGGCAGAGTATTACATATAACACAGCATGGAGCTGCAAAAGCATAGCAGGCCAGGCAGCATCAGGGGAGCAGGAAAGTTGACGTTTCGGTTCGGGACCCTTCTTCACAAAAATACCAGAGTATTAGCCTGGACCTCTCAATATCTACTCCCGTGATATACCACAATGCCACCATCTCCCCTTGATGTAATAGCCAAATTTTGCCACCCATTTTTCTCATCGCAATATTGACTTAACTACATTTTTAGCTAAAATATTCCTAATTTAGAGTACTGAATTATATTAAGCCTGACTATACTGCAAGAGATCTAAAATAATGCACACTGAAATGATTATCTCTTTAATTACAAGTACACCTAACAACATTATACTTACAAATGTTTGCCTTAAATCTTACAGTATGCTTCTAGGCAGCAAGTTGAACAAGGTGTCTCTGCAGCATTAATTATCAGAGCAATTGCAAATTTAGCTCAATTATCCATTTCTTCACTTATCTATATTATTAGTAAATTTTAAAAAATATTTTGGTTGATCTTTTTGGATCTGGTTAATATTACAGATGTCAGTGCTGGTAGATGAAACAATCTTCTAACTTTCCCACTTTTGGCACACTGTCAGCACCATGCAAATTTACACTGGTATACCTCGGCACTAGAATACCAATATGTTCTTTCTTCTTTTCCTCAGTCCCTGTGGTGTCTTAAATGGAATGAACATTTTAGACCAAATTACAAATTTGTGCCACCCTCAATTTCAACTAGCTCGAGTGGATCCAAATTCTTTTGACTTATGACCTCTACAGTCAACAAAGGGAGTAACCACTCATCCCAAAAGTACAGGCTGATTCAAACCCAGAAACCAGTCAACACACTGATAGCCTACAAATAAGTGGCAGTGTTTCATTTGAATGGACAGCTGAAATTTTTGTTGAAGGATACTTAACTCTATTAGTCAGAAGATATAAAAAAAACTCTCCAATTCTGCCCTTGACTGTGCTTAAATGGGACTCTTCTTATCGAAAGTATTTAGCATGTTGCAGATCTTTACAATGTTAGAAAACTATTGCTATAACAACAAACTTTTGTTTTGACTGCACTGTCAGGCCAACAGTGTTTGGGGCAGTGATCCTGGAAAAATCGGCATACTTCCTTTGCTTCTCATGTGCAAATTCTTTTATGTCTATTCCCCAAAGCTTACCAGGTTAAATGCTTCCAACTCTTTCATTCGGGGCATGTATCTGTCATAATAACCTTGTATTAAACTGTCTGACATCTGAAAAAAGGAAAAAAGGCACACATTTAAGTCGAATTATAACCATGTGATCAACTGGCATTGTTCCAACTAATATCATAAACATACCTGTCAGAGTACAATTGTTACAATATGTAGTTAGTGTACCCCATACAGATAATAAGACATAGTTTTGGCTAAAAGCTTGTTACTTAAGCTATTTGATTTGGTAGAGGTCAAGTACGTTTTTGCAGACATGCGTTCCTTTCTATTTTGCCAGCTCTGCCACATTTAGTCAAATAAGACACAACAAAATATGGCTTACAGTACTTATATTTTGGGACATTACATTTGTGAAAAGTCTTTAGCTACAGATTGGATATGGAAAAAATCTAGACAGTCCCTTATCACTTTAAACATACTGTTTCACTGAGATTCACTAAAATGGAATTATTTCATAGCATTCAGTATTTATAAGTAAATCAAAAAACACACATATTAAATGTCACTTTAACGTATCAATGGCAGTAGTTCTCTAATATTTCTAGTTAAGAAACAATTATTTGGAACATTTTATTACCATAAAATTACCTTCGCATAAATTTTCAGGATAATTATTGCCAATGAGTGATAGGGAACGTTTGGCAAATTCAAAACAGTTCAAACTATGTATGTAATTTTACAAGCATTTTTGTAGAAGACAAACATAATATAAAATCATTATATGAAAACTACATGCAAAACAAGGATGTAGAAAACGAAACAGCAAATGACTTAGATTAGTTTCCACAGTACAGTCCTAACAAATCAAAATAATTGGTTTGTTCTGCAAGGCATCAAAACATCATTCTTTTCTCAAGTAATTTATGGAGAGCTGTTTCAGTGTGTAGTTGAATAACCTGGGGAGAAGAGTGATGAAGAGCAGTAAGTCAGAAAAAAAAAACTCTATTTTTAAGGATGATTCTGCTAAACTACAGAATATTGAAATTTTCTCAGGTTATCTTTCAAGATCAGGTCATACCACCAATTGATTTCAAAGCCACTTTGCAAAAATGGCAATATAACTTAACCAAAGTTGCCAAACTGACAGCATTTCACATTCTAAAAGTTGCATACGGCTACATCAAGGAGGTATGGTCAAATGATTATGATGCTGGGGAATGCAGCTCTTATTGAAAAACCCCTAGCTGGGCCTTTACTGCCCAACAGAGATGTCACAGGACATCACTGCAGGAATTCCTCAGGATAGTGTCCTAATCCTAATCATTTTTAGTTGCTTCACCATAATTCCAGAGGTGGGGATGATCACTGATGATTGCACAATGTACAGCATTATTTGCAACTCCTCCGAAACTGAAGCAGTCCATATCCAAATGCAGCAAGACCCGGACAACCTCTACTATGTAGAATAGCAAGGAGAGCAGATGCATGGGAACAGCATCACCTGCCAGTTCCTCTCCAAGCCACACAATCCTCACCTCAATTTATGTTGCTGCTCCTTCAATGTAGCTGGGTCATCAACTTGGAACTCCATTTCAAACAACAATATGGATGTACCTACAGCAGTTCAAGAAAGCAGCTCACCATCACCTTCTTAAGGGAAATTAAGGATGGACAACAAATTTTAGCCTTCCCACTTCTAGGAATATTCACATTTCTGGAATGAATGAAGGAAAGCTAAATAGCAATTGTGGTGTCCTGTCATTGAGAATGGAGATAAGAACAGAAGAGAGAAGAGACTTTAAAGAACTTGCAGAAATACAAAGCAATGAGAAAAGAAGTCAGACATAATCAGTGACAACTTATACCACTATTAAATTGATACTTTGCTGAAAATTTACACTTCACCATGTTTGGGTACATTTATATGAATCTGATAAACATAGGTTTTTGCGATTTTTTTAACTGAAAACATTAAGTCTACCCAAGTCCCTTGAGGCTCAAAACTCTTCCGTCAGTCAATATAATAGTGGCTGATCATCCAACTCAGTACCCTGTTCCTGATTTCCCCCCTTACCCTTTGATTAATTTAACCCTTGGAATTATATCTAACTCCTTGAAAGCATTCAATGTTATGGCCTCAACTGCTTCCTGTGGCAGAGAATTTCACAGGCTCCAGATGAAGAAATGTTTCTCCTCGTCTCAGTCCTAACCCATATCCTTAGACTGTGGCCCCTGGACTTCCTGGTCATCAGGAACATCGTTCCTCCAGTTACCATGTAAGAATTTTATACATTTCTATAAGATCCCCCTTATTCATCTAAACTATAGTGAATAATGTCCTAACTAGTGCATTCTCTCTTTCTACAACTGTCCTGCCATCTCAGGAATCAGTCTGGTAAACCTTTGTCACACTCCCTCTGTAGCTTCCTCAGATAAGGATGCCAAAACTGCACACAATACACCAGGTGTGGTCTCACCAGGGCCCTGTACAATTGCAGCAATACATAGCTGCTCCTGTATTCGAATCCTGTTGCTATGAAGGCCAACATACTATTTGCCTTATAAAAACCAAAAGAACTGCGGATAGTGCAAATCAGAAACAAAAACAGAAATTTCTGGAAAAGCTCAGCTGGTTTGGCAGCATTTGTGAAGAAAAATCAGAGTTAATGTTTCAAGTCCAGTGACCCTTCCTTAGAACTGACAGTGGAACTGAGGTTCAGGCCAAGCAGCAGAGATGGACATTGTGGCCAAGAGGAAGCATGAGCACAAGGGAAGGCAAGGACCAGGAAGAATTAGGGATTTTCTTTTAAAATTCATTCATGGGACATGGGCATCACTGGTTGGCCAGTATTTATTGCCTACATGTAGTTGTCCTTGAACTGAGTGGCATGCTGGGTCATTTCAGAATGCAGTTGGGAGTCAACCACATTGCTGTGGTTTTAGAGTCACATGTAGGTCAGACCAGTTAAGGATGGTAGATTTTCTTCCTGAAATACATTAGTGAGCCAGATGGATTTTTCTGACAATTGGCAATGATTTCATGGTCATCAATAGATTCTCGTGTCCAGGTTTTTTTCAAATTTCACCATGACGAGCTTTGAACTCGAGTCCCCAGAACATTATACCACAAGGCCATCTCCTCCCCCAAATGTGGTCTGAAGTTAGCAAAACTTGAGATGTAGGATTACTTGCAGAGTGGGACAAGCTCCAGTGAGGTCAAGTCCTTAAAAGTACATCTATTGGATAAATTTACAACAGAATATCAGTCATTTTATGGATGTTTGATGATCAGTAATGACTGGTTGTTTTTACATTATAACCTTTATTGCTAACCATATATAATTGGTTGGCTGAAGAATTAGCATGGCTATGTATGCAAGGTTGACAAAATGTGGCAGCTGCTATATCCTGACTGGCAACTTTGAAAACATTTGAGTAAGTTGATCAGTTGTTTATTTTTCCAAATGGAGTGTGTTCTTTAGCGTTGGGTAATGTTTCCTCCTTGTCCATTGGCCAATCAAATGCAAGAGTGCCTGATCTGTTACATTTTAGAATATGACAAACAACTTCCACAAATGAAGGATACAAACTAAACTGAAACCTTTAAACATTCTACAGCAATATACACAATTGATAATTAGGATCTTATTGTCCTTCCACAAATTGCTAGGTTTAGAGGGGCCTCCAGGTCATTTTGTACAATTCCCTCCATTTCATAAAGCAAAGAACTGCAGCTGCTGGAGATCTGAAACAAAAACAGAAATTGCTGGTGAAACTCAGCTGGTCTGGCAACATTTGTGGGGAGAAAGCAGAATGAACATTTGGAGTCCATTGGTTCTTCATCAGAATTCCATTTCAAATTACTTTGTGTATGATGAACAATCCATTTTATTAATTTGCAATTTTCCATGTCACGTATTGATGGCAATAGTTCCTAAACAATACTTGCTGATTCATCAAGTCACACAGTGCAAGAAGTTGAGCTGAAACTATTCTATAAATAATCAGATTCTTCATTGGTGCTTGGGAGACAAGATTTAACTACCAACATTTGGAATAAGAGGCCTGGGTCCTTTTGTTCTGTTTGATTGTAACTTTATTATGCTTGGTTCTTAGCTTAATTATGTCCCACAGCGCATATTAAAGAATAAACAGATTTTCTTCAGCAAATTATATAGGATTTCAAAAAAAACTTGGAGAACAGGAGCAAAGAAAAAAATGTCATTAAATTTAGAACACTGGAAGAGGTTTTTAAATGTTTCAGCCTTTCCCATGGAGGAAGATCAGATTTAATTGAATAGAATATGTGGTTTAGATTTAAGTAAGTAAGCTCATCAATGTTATACAAATCAATCTGGAGCTGCCCTGCATAGTTCATGTGAATTGCACATGATGCGACCAGACAATGGAAAATTGCATATGTTATGCTTTGCAGACAGGGACCTGGAGGGCGTGATGAACAGGGTACTTCAGAGGAGGACTGTTCTCTTTCCCCTGCCTCATGCACAGGTTGGAGGCTGCCATGGAGAGTTAGGTTCAGCACACTCAGTGCTTGTAGGCTATAGGCATGGAGATGCACTCTTTCGCTTTAGGCATTGGGACTCAGCGCTAACAGAAGGTGACAGAGGGATGAGGGACCATGACTTCATGCCAGGTTCTTCTTCTGCATGAGAAACAGGGTGGTGTCAGCATGCACCCAGCTAGAGAAGCAACTCTATACAGACCCTACAAACGTTTGCTCTCATGACGCTCCAGAGGTGGCTTGGCCTTCCATGTCCAGCCTGTCTGCTGCAGTCGGCCCTGTGGGAGTTCAGGCCGAGCTTGGTGCACCTGCAAGTCATGCACACATTCAGCAAGTAGCAAGTCTGGGACTTTTAGCTACAACAGCCTTGGGGTCACCTAATCAAAACTCCAAGCTCCACAGTAGGTCAGGCTCACTCTACTCCAGCCTGTGGAGCCTGGGCTGCACTGAGACGTAGTAGGAGAGAAAGAAAGACGAAAACATCTGAGAGCACACAGGTAGCATGGGTGACACATCACTGTAAATACATTCTCATATTATAAATGTTCACTTGCTAGCATCAGCTGTCTGAGTGGAT